AAACTTTGCATGCTTACTCTTTACATATACAGGGACAAAGTTATGTATGGGCTTTCAATTATCTAAAGAAACTTTTATTATTTTAATTTTTTTGTAATATTGCGAAAATTTTATTGTTATTTTCTTAATTTGAAAACTTGTAGAAAAAATATCTGAAGAGATAATTTCAAACTAATACATAACTTTGTTTGCAGTAATATACTCTATCAAATGACACTTCAATCATCTATCTACTACTTATAGTTAAAAAGCCTTAGCGGTTCTTGTGAAAGGCTGCAAATTCGGTTAAAATGGTGGTGGGGGGGAGGGGGGTGGTTTACAAGTGGTCAAAAAATAGTTATTTTGTTTCAAGTAGAGTAATTTTACATAATAAAAATTAAAATATCTCAAAATAATACACAGTTAAGAATTTAGAATTTTCAGTGGGACCTCCCCTTTGGAATTAAAGAATCTTAACAGCTGGTGCAACTAAACAATTTGATTCTGTGATACTGTGTGTTACTCCAGCTAACTGGAGGTTTACCCACTGTTACTTTGGGTGACGTAGCTCAGGAATAAAACTCAGTACTCAGTACTATATAAAAACATATTTCAATAAAAGACAATTTCGTTATCTCACAAAATTGTTTCTATCCTCCAACAATTCTAATGCATATTATTGAAATTGTTACCAAGTTTATCTACGACGTGTATCCATTTCTCAATTCATCGCATTTTATTTCTATATCTTAAAAATCTACATATTACTTCTAAACCACACAGTTTTTATATCCTAAATGCATCTAGTTAGGTACTCTCCCTTGTTTTTATTTGTACAGTTTTTCCTTATGTATCAGGTCTAATGTATTTAGGCCTATTTTAACAATGATGCTTAGTAATATTATTTATTTAGAGTTGCTTTAGAGTGTATCATTTATTGATGTCGGTGATCCCATCTTTTGAGCTGTTTTATATGTATATGTTAATCAGTCAACATATAAAACAATTTGATCAATATTAGTTGGATGTCAATCAATAGAACATCCCAAACAGGTCTCGACCTAGGGATAAATTGTTTCATAGTTAAATAATCCCCAAGTGTATAAGTTAGTTAATCTAAGTTATTCTTAGTCTACTCTGTGTGTATGATTTGTAAATCAATATATGAAACAATAAAGATTTTCTGATTGCTGATTCTGATTTCTTCCTCGCCATTCTTGGATCTCAAGAATAAGTAGACTGGTATTAAATATATACTATTAGGTATATATATTATATCTACTATTATTTTTGTAGCTTTATTTAGTTATTCCCAATTGTTGAACATAAGCTACAAGAGTTCTAAACTAAACCATATACCAGATTGGTTAGCGGTATTCCAAGTTTTTACATATGTTATTAGGATTCACAGATGGTCAGAATTAATTGTTATTATGTTTGTTTAGTTCAATGTTTTGGTTTAGTTCAGTGTTTACATTATGAAATTATTAAATTGAGTTTAATACAGTTTTTGTTAATAAATGTATTTAATAATTGGCGATGAGGACAATTAATTACCTACAGTTCTAATTTAGACTTATTACATTTACTAGTACAGTTAATTTATTATGGCCTCCTTCCAAGGAAATGAAACATTGAGTGAACTGAAGAAAGCAAGACCTGTTGTTAAAGGTCAGTTGAATAGAGTTGAGAGAATAATTGTCTTGTATTAAAGTTCATAGTATCAAAACAAGACTCACAGTGACACAAGCTTATTGGGACCGATTTGAGTTTATCCAGCACAACATTGGAGTAAAAACAGATGAAGAAGAGCTTGAAACTGAAATCACATACGGGACCGACATGGAGGATATGTATTTCAAAATAGTTTATGCATTACAAAACCGATTGATTAAGTGAATTGGAAGGAGTCAACGAAACAGAAGAACAGATCAGACCATACAACGTTGATACTCAGAAATTGTGACCGCTTACATGAACAATTTTGTTCTTCATTCACTTACATGGACAAAGAAAGCATCCTACAGATAAGGTATACACATTACTTCATTCTTTAACTCCTAACTTACATCGGAATGTTTATGATTTATTTGCTCCAGAATTACCTGTATGGATAAATCATATACAGAATTGGTGAGAATTTTGACAGATTATGTTGATCCACAGCCAAGTACTTGGGCTTTACAGCACAAATTCATGTCTATAGAACAGTAAACCAATGAACCAATGAAACCTTTAAGATTTACTCTGTGGAATTGCAAAAGCTTTCATCTAATTGTGAGTTTAACTGTGAGTATTGCTAGAAATCAATCGCTAATACACTTTTGTGAATGCAGTTCATAAGAGGGTTATTTAGTAAAAATATTAGAGCCAAATTGCTTCAGGATAATTCATTTGTATCGTTTAAAGATGTTGTCAAAGCAGCGACAGCGATGGAAATTGCAAATCATGAAAGTGATCCATCTGAATACTATGAAACTAAAATTAATTGGCCTACTACAGTACATCAGAATGAGGATAAATACAAAAATGTATCAACTAAATCGCACATTACGTCAGAGCAGAAAACGCCTTCACCTCTTTTTGAGAGCCTTAAAGGGTAATGTTATGGTTTTGGTTCTCAAAATCATAGGGCCACTCAATAACTGTGAGTTTGCTTCAAAGATATGTAATAAATGCAAGAAACAGGGACACTTAGCCAGAGTATGTTTGGGATCTACAAGACCGAAGAACACCAAGCCGAAGAAGAAGACTGTCAAGATGAACAACACGAGATTTTCAAAATAGATAGAAGAAATGGTGACGCCAGACGGCAAGAAGCTGTACACCGTCGCACTCTGGTTGCCACTCCATCCATTTGAGGGCGTTGTCAAGGCACATAAAGGCCTCACTATGTGATGGTACACTTTTGTCTCCTGCCTCTTCGTTTTTTAACACCCTGTATACAAGGGTTGTTTATGAATTAAGGTCCCCAACGAGTCCCTTCAAGGCCAAGCAAACCAGTTTAAATCTGACACCAACGCAGTATTCTTTCCTTTATTCACTACTATTTCAGCTGGTTCCCACCTCTATGTAGTGATTAGACCCGACAAAAAAATCACTGTTTTAAATCTGGAACAGCTCAACTCATCTTATCTACATTTCATCTCATTCTTATCTACCATTGTGACGAACACGTACGGGAAGTTCAACTCAATGAACGAAGGCCTAACACTTGATTATTGCTAATGCATGCACTTATTGCTAAAGAACTAAGTTAATTTAGGATGAGCTACGATCAATTAATTGTTATTCATAAAAAACAGATTTTAAAGGGATCATGTCTGCTCCGTGAACAGCCGCAGGGGAGGGAAGGATCTATTTTATGTTTCAATTTTATATGTTTATACTCATGATAAATAGTTTTTAGTTTTTTTGTCCAAGCTTTGTTACTGTTTATGAAGAGAAAACTATTAAACTATGGCTGACTAAATGTGATGCATTAAAGAGACACTTAAGTTAAATCAAGAAATGCTACGGACAAGCCTTTTATGTCTTAGTGTTAAAATGCCCTTTGTCATTGTGTTTGTATATTGAATAAATAAATTGAATTGGAACCAAACAAGTTTTAATGTATATTCATGCTTTTGACATTAAAAATGTGTATCCATTTAACTTAAACCACTTACCACTAGCTCCTCAACCCAATGACACTTGAGAGAGAATAATCGCTGAAACATTTCTTCAAAACTCATTTGGCCATTGTTAAGTACTTTGTCGTAGACAGAATCATAAGCTCCCTTATCGTTACCAGAACTGCAATCAATGTAGCGGAGCATGCTCTTGTTTTCACAGTCCCTCAGATCATTGTATAGAGAAATGTCTTTTTGACATCCTGAGATTGTCAAAATACTAAAAATATCCAGAACTTTGGTTTGACACAAATAGTAAAGTGATTCACCGATTTCTTCAAATCCTTTATCGTTCTTTACAAATAAAAGCAAAGCATATAGTAAGTTTACAATATTTTTCCTTGTATCAGGCTCTGAAAAATAGCAACCAGAATTAGATTTAAAACCATAGATAATAGCTGTGCTGTAATTTATGCATAGTTGTGACAGAATGTGTGAAGGTACAAAATTAAAAAGAATCCTACTAAAAGCCTATCTATTTCAAAAGTGTTACAAGATAGATTTTACAGATAGAGTGGCCTAAAAAGTTGGTATTAAAATCCTTTATAAGTTATACAACCCCTGCAATAGTGGTAAATAGTGAACATATTCTGTGGAGTGAAATCGTGAACACTTTTTATGATAATAGTCACACAAAATCTTGAAAATCTGCTACAATAACTGGTAAGTTTAAAAATACACTGTTGCTTCTTACAAATATAGATTCACAATTTACTGTAATTGTAAACATAGCATAGAGATTATAAACCTTGAATGAATGGAGACTCTGGTTGAGACAAGCGATTGAGGCATTGAGTCAATGCAGTCTTATACGAGTCTGTTATAGCTTTATTGACATCTGAGAAAGCTTCATGATCACATGAAATCAGTTGGAGAAGTATGTGTGTTTCCCCTGGCTTATCCAAAAGGCTTTTCAATAAAGCTGTTTCTAAGGAAGAACTACATTTGGGCAATATCTTTCCTTTGCTGACTAGGTTTGCAAACAATACTTTGCTAAAGATCGTTTTCAAATCCTAAAACAAGCAAACAACAAACAATATTCAATATCATTGTTCAATGTACAAATCTAAAGGCTACAAGATTAACATAACAGTATACATTTCTTTAATCTCTATATTTTCAAACACAAGCTCTACACTCAAACAACTTAAAAATGAAATTTATGGTTTCTGTTGATTCCACTAATTTTACTAATAAAAGTTCACATTTTGTATAAGAAAATATAAAGTAAGTTTTTATTAAATCACAATCTGTAAGTAAACATAAACAATTCAACAAGTAAACAAAAGAATAATTTGAACACATGTTAGAAATAAAATGTAAATAAAACATATGTTAACAACTCCTCTTCTATTTACTGTGCTGAGGCACTCTGCGAAGAATCAGCTGATCAACATGTCTTCTAGTTATTCGCCCATCTTCCAGCTGAACTACGTACATTACGTGTCCTTGCTTTTCAGTTATATAGCCCGAGTACCACTTGGATGATCCATTGACATATACCCGCGCTTGAACCTTATCTCCAACTTTGAAATTCCTTTTTATACCGACTTGGAGTCCCTTGTTCTGAAATTTGTTCGGTTCTAATGTTGGAACAATTATTGCGAGGTTTGTTCGTACACTCCTTCCAAACATTAAGTCGTATGCTGATGTACCAGTTGAATTCGGGGATTGCCTGAGTTGCATTACAAGCCTTTGGATTTTATTTGGCAGTGTACCCTTTTCTCCCTCCATGGATTTTAACGCCTTCTTGACAGTCTGCACGTATCTTTCAGCCTGGCCGTTTGAGTTTGGGTGATATGGTGCCGTTGTTCTGTGAACAATCCCACATTCATTCATGAAGTTTTTGAACTCTTGGGAAACAAACTGTCTTCCATTATCTGAAACTAAGATTTGAGGAAACCCAAAAGTTGAAAAGATTTTCCGTAATTCTTGGACTGTCCATGTACTTGTAGTTGTTCTTGTCTGTATCACCTCCACCCACTTACTAAAAGCATCCACTAATATGAGGTACTGTTGGCCATCTGTTGGTCCTAAGAAATCGATGTGCACTCTCTCCCATGGATTAGTAGGTTGTTCCCATGGATGGATAGTTTTTCTCGGGTTGTTGCATTGTTCAATGCATTGTCGACATTCAGCTACCATCTGTTGTCTATACTTTTCCACCAGCAAAAACTGCGAGCTAAAGCCTTCATTTTTATTTCTCCTAAATGAGCTACGTGTAATACTCGAAGCACGTGAGGTTTGAGGGATTGAGGTATCATGACTCTCCAGCCCTTCAGTACACAATCATCTTGAATGGACAGTTCGTTATCGTGAAATCCATATTGTTCGACAGATTGTCCTGATTTTAAGGCCTGTAGGACTGGACCCAACACAGAATCGTTGATAGTTTCCTTAGCCACCACGGTACTGTTGACATTAAGTGTTTCTAGTTGGTTTATGTGGTACTTAGAGAGGTCATCTATTGCATTTTCTTGTACAACTTCGGTAGGGAAACGTGAGAGATAATCTGCATTGCTATGATGAGCAGTTTGCCTGTACTCTATGTCATAGTTGAACCCGGAGAGAAAGTGAGCATAGTTGAATATCCGTGTTGCCGAGATTGTTGGTAAGGTCTTTGCTGGATTAAAAATTGAGACTAGCGGTTTGTGGTCTGTAATCAAAGTAAACTTGCGGCCATAACAAAATGGGAAAAACTTTTTCAGGCCCCAATATATTCCCAAGGCTTCCTTGTCGATTTGAGAGTATTTTTGCTCTGATTTTGTTAAAGATCGAGAGGCGAAGGCAATTGGTCTGTCCGTTCCATTGCTATAGCGGTGAGACAGAACGGCTCCCACACCTACCGGTGAAGCATCAGTAGCTAAGACCAGAGGTAAGCTAGGATCAAAGTGAACCAAAACATCGTCACTTGTGATAATTTCCTTAATCTTCTGAAAACTCTTTTCACAAGATGAATTCCAATTGAAAGGATTTCCTTTTCGTAGCAGTAGGTTCATCGGATGTAGTAGTGTTGCCAAATTCTTTATGAATTTGTTGTAATAATTTGCTAGGCCCAAGAAAGTTCGGAGTTCAGAAACGTTTTCTGGCCTTTTACATTTCAGAATGCTCTGTATCTTGGTATCTGACTTATGTAGCCCTTTGCTATCGATCACATGACCTAAATACTCAATTTTCGTCTGGAAAAACTTGCATTTGTCTCTATTTAGCCTCAAATCGTTTGTCTTCAGTCGTTCGAACACCTGTTTCAGTCGGCGAAGAAGCTGTTCCCGGTTAGATCCTTGGATAATGACATCATCGAAGAAACATTGTACACCTTCTAAGCCATGTAATGTTTTGTCCATGAATCTCTGCCATAACAAGGGTGCCACTTTTACTCCAAACATTAATCGGTTCACCTTAAACAGCCCTTTATGAGTACTGATTGTTTGCATTATGGCACTGTTTTCGTCCATCTCCAGGTGCAAGTATGCATTACTGATATCAAGAGTACAAAATATCTTTCCACAATGCATCTTTGACATGATATCGTCGATCCGAGGTATAGGGTAGTGTTCGTCTTTGATGACTTTGTTCAATGTCACCTTATAATCAGCGCATATTCTGACTGAACCATTTGGTTTGACGACCGGAACAATTGGTGTGCCCCAATCAGATGATTCGACTTGTGTGATTATACCCAAAGTTTCCAGTCGTTCAAGTTCTTTCTCTACTTTTTCTTGTAATGCATATGGCATGTGTCTTGGTTTGATGTAAATTGGCTGGGTTTCATCTTTAACATTAAAATGGCCCTTTTCGTTTGGTATTTTCCCAATGCCTTCTTTGAAAATGTCTTCGTATTGAATCATCAGTTTATCTAGTTCTTGAATGTTTTCATTTGTTTCACTTGAATCTAATGAATGTATGTCAGCTGCATCAAGCTGAATCTCTCTTATCCATTCTCTTCCGAATATAGAGTCTACACACTTGTTTACAATGTACAGTTTTCCAACAAAACTGCACAAACTCCTCAACGGTAACAAGGCAAATCGATCATTTGCCACTTTCCGGCAAGCATTAGTCGAAGAAATTATAAATGAGTGTGCAGTTGCGTTACCTGAAAGACATACGCCTCCAAACCCACCCCCTCAGCGCCTACAAGGAAGACACTTTCCTCAAAAGCTCCAACCATCTGAGAAAAAAGGTTCAAAGTTCAAAGACTGCCAAACGATGCAAAGTGTGCTATATTCATGGTAACAGACGTTAAACCACTTATGAATGTGACACTTGTCATGTACCTTTGTGTATTGATCACTTCAAAGCTTATCACACCCTTCGAAACTACTAGTTTGAACAATGTTTCTTCGTGTTTTACCCTGAGATGTGGACATTTATAATTTCAAAGCATTCCACACATTTTGAAAATGATAGTTTGAACAGTTTGTATTCATTGTTTCATAATAATTGACCTACCCTAAAATGTAAAAATAAAACACATGATTTTAGTTTACTCTTTTATTTTCCTGAAATGAATGGAACTGAACTAAAATTTATGGGTATTTACAACAAAATTTCAATCAAACCATGCAATAAGTGTTATTTAGTAAGTGAGGGCTATAGTATGGTAACGCGAGGCATGGGTGACGCGACGCTGCAACCACGACAGCGCCGTGCCGTGCCGCACTCTGTGCCATACTGACGCCATCTCGCTTACAGCTTTAGTCTCTATGTACTTCCAATTACCTTTTATACTGTGTTTATATTTTTTAACAATTCTGTGGGTATTTTTATTGAAAATTATGCAATAATTTATGTATCTAAACTTTGACAAACAAAAAGTTGATCTTTACAAAAATTGTGTGTGTGTATATATATATATGTATATACAAATATTTAATTATATGTATATATAAATATTTAAATTTGTTCAGCAAAATATTACATTCCTTGAATGATTTGATAATTATGAAATACAGGCAGGTATGCACTTATTTTTTTGAGAAGTATAAAAAATAGTATAATATTATCCTAAATACATATAAATATACATATAAAATACAAAAATATGTACAAATATACATTTTATTATTATTTTCAGCTATAACATACTATAAAACGTCATAAAAAAATAGTTTAATATTTTTTAATTTTTTTTACTGTTTCAGCTTACCTACTGGTAATTTTGGTAAATAAATAAGCCGATGCAAATGGGTTAAATACCTGTCTTTTTACTTTCTCCTCAAATTTACTCAAAAAAGCTAAAAAGCTCCTCAAATTAGCCAGTGGTGAAATAACTCTGGCATCGTCGAATATTAGGTGTTAGGCCAGGGCGAATTAGCTCGTGGACCCGCGACAATCGATTCGGTTTATTGTAAGCAGCGTTGGTTTTTATTCTAAAAGTGAATCACGGTATATCCATTAAGTAGAGATTTGTTTTATTTTCGAAGTTAACGATTTTAGTTAGTTACGACCAGTGTTTCACTCACGGAATTAACGCCAATTATTCTAAATTAACTAATTTGTTTAAATTAAGGCTTAACCCGGGCAGTGATGAATGTGTCATTTACTGGAAGCTGATGCTTTAACGACTATATCTGAGCCCATATTTTAAAACCAAATACTATTTTATTACTAATAACCCTGGACATACTCAATTAGATTAGCTATCCGAGACCGACAGTACAATTTTGTCCCAGGACAAAATTGCACCGTCACAAATGGGACCCAAATAACTACCGAGGAATATCATTACTAAGTACTTCCTATAAGGTAATGTCCAAGATACTCCAGAAGAGACTTGAGGAATACACAGAGGAAATAATTGAAGAGCACCAAGCTGGTTTTCAAAGGGGCAGGTCCACAACAGATCAAATATACATTCTTAAGGAAGCAATAGCTAAATATTGGGACTTTGGTAAATCTTTCTATGGCCTATTTATCGATTTTAGCAAAGCGTATGATAGCATTCATAGGGAAAAAATTTTGTATAGAATGGAAAGTTTTGGAATCCCAAATAAACTAATAAAATTGGCTACTTTAAGTGTTAATGGCTCTAAGAGCAAGGTTAAAATAGAAAATGACTACTCAACATCCTTTGACATAAAAACAGGAGTTAGGCAGGGAGATATTATTTCATCTACACTCTTCAATCTTGAGGGAGCACTTAAAGAGCTTAAGAATACAGAATATGGCATAAGAATTGGAAGGAAGATAAGCGTGCTCGCCTTTGCAGATGATGTAGTACTGCTTGCAGAGACCAGAGAAGAACTCCAGGAAATGTTTGAAAACCTTAAAAGAGAAACAAGAGCAGTGGGCCTGAAAATAAATTACAACAAAACAAAACTTGTCAGATTTGGAAGGGGAGCAGAGAACGAGTAGAACATGATAGAACAACAGTATGAACAAGTTGAGTCTTTTAAAAATTTAGGAGTTATTGTCAGCTTACAAAGTGAGGAACACATAGAAATAAAGAATATAATAAACCTAGCCAGTAGAAGTATATATGCTCTAAACAAATTATTATCATCAAGATTATTGTCTCATCACACTAAACTTAAAATCTACAAAACTATCATTTATTTATTTATTTGCCAACGGATTTACACCAATTTTACAGTTTGATTGAGTTTAAAATTGCTCATTATGACTAGATAACCCATAATAATAACAATGAAAGGAATGTCAAATATAACAATAATAAGAGTAAAGTATACATGTGAAAAACTTGGACAAAGAAAGAACTGAGTAACGATAAGCATAGTTGAATGAATAACCAAGATATGTATACAACAAATGGCACATGGACTAACGTAGAAAACAATAAATAATATAAATAACAATGAAATAACAATAAACATGATAAATATTTTTGTGAGAACAATAAACAATATAAATAACAATGAAATAACAATAAACAGATACATAAATATTTTTGTGAAAACAATAAATCTATATACTTATTTAATCTATACTTATTTAATACGCAAGCAGGTTTTTTGTGACAATTACTCCTCCGAAACTACTGAACCGATTGACATGTTTTTGGTGTCATTGAAAAGAGCGTAACGTGAATTTGTGCAGAAAACTTTCTTTTTAGGTAAATAATTAGAGAGTGAGGCCCTGGGGCCCTTTAAAGTTTTGTATTTCTCCATAAGATTAACATGGGAAACAAACATTGTTATGAAACTCCAGCTGTTGTCAGAAATTAAAAGTGAGAAGAAGAACATATGTTAATTGTAAACATTCAATAAGTTTGCTAATTTAATAGTTTGCTACAACATTTACTTACTTGATTGAAATGAAATATTTAATATTTGAATTTGGCGTAAAAATTACAATGGAAAAAGGCGAGAGAGCCTGTATAGAGCCTGTATAATTTTATATACTAAAAACAAAACTCAATTTCTTAAGAACACTGTGCTGCATTTCTAAGTAATCATTGAAAGAGCCGATTTGCAAACTATGGAAAGATAGGAAGGTCATAGAACACCACCAAGGAGAATAAAATAGAAATAATGTTTTCTTTTAGAGTTTATCATTGTTATTATGGACCACCGAATGCGGCTATGACTAAGGCTATTTGTAGAAAACACAAAAAACATGATCATCAGCTTTTGAAAAATGATAAGATATTTACAAGAAATTGTGATGATATCGATCTGTTATAACTCTGTTAGGGGGGGAAACATTTGAAAACATGGCAACATCTTGAACATCTTGAGTATTTCCATAATCTTTGAATCGAATCTTTTAAAGTCATAAGAAATTATAATAAATAAATTATAAATTGTAATACTTAGCAATTGCTCAAATTCGAGCAACAGGGACACTAGTACTTAATTAATACGCAAGCAGGATTTTTGTGACAATTACTCCTCCGAAACTACTGAACCGATTGACATGTTTTTGGTGTCATTGGAAAGAGCATAACGTGAAGTTGTGCAGGAAACTTTCTTTTTAGGTAAATAATTAGAGAGTGAGGCCCTGGGGCCATTTAAAGTTTCGTATTTCTCCATAAGATTAACATGGAAAACAAACATTGTTTTGAAACTCCAGCTGTTGTTAGAAATTAAATATTAATAATTTGGTCTCCATGGAAGCATGAGAAAATTCACAATTTTAACATTTGCTTTGACATTTAAATGTAAACACAACCAGAACTGTCAAATGCCTATTTCACAATTTCAGACAGCTGATAAAAAAAATTAAAAAAAAAACAACTATGTGGTAGGGCCTTGGGTTTATTTAATCTTAAACTTTATGATAGATTATTTATTATAAATCAATTTCAATGATTATGAAACAGATTTTTCCCATTGTGAAGCAAAAATTAAAAGTGATAAGAAGAACATATGTTAATTGTAAACAGGCAATGTGTAAATTATCTATGTTGTATTAAAAATTTGTATAGTTTTGGATGTTGGTTTGTGTTTAATGATATAAGTTATTAATTATTGAATTTTTATTTTAAGGATTTATCATATGAGTAAGCCTATGATAAATAACACCATTTCAGAGTTCTGCCAGTTTTTCCCTAACTCTGTTCTGTAGAGTTTAAAGTAGCGTACACCTTATTGTCTACAAATTGGCTAAATAACTTAGGTACGGTACATTATAAAAGCTGACAGCCTTTTTACGTTGACTTAAATTGCAAGCTTACCTTTTCCCGTCTGTGGGCAGTTTGACAGTTAAAAATTAACCCTTTAAAATGGAATAGGACTGTTATGTAAATTGTGAGTATTTCTATTAGTTAATTATC